CCCCCCCCCCCCCCCCCACCCCGGGTGTGCGTTATGATCGCGTTCGGCGAACCCCTCCCTCGGCGACAACCACACGTTAGTCTACAATAGTCGGTTCATAATACCGAGAGCCACAGCTGATCACATCATAACAAGTCAACGAATAACTGCGTCTGTATCACGTGTTTCGTGGCCGCACACTGATGGTGATGATGCTCGTGGCATACGTACGAAGAGCTGTAATTCACCCGTGGCGTTTCCCCATGAGCTTCCCAGACATAATGGCTCCAGGGTACCGCGTATGAATATTCACCATTCAGCCAAGTCGGTTGCCTCTCCATCAAGGAAACAGATTCCGTTCAGGGGTCACGAAACTGGGCGGTCATGTGTGCGTGTACGATCACCAACACGGCCTTCTCTCTCTCTCTCTCCACTTCTGAAGGACACGGAAACACGGGAACCACACGGTGAAGGTTTACATTTGGAGGCGGAGAAAGTGGGTGAAGGCACCTCCAAAGGCTTGTCCGTCTGGCGGGGGCAACAGCAGCAGCGGCAGCAAGACGAGAGGGAGGATGTGAGACAGGACCTGCAAGACGAGAGGGAGGGCGTTGTGGTTGTTGGAGAAATCGAACAACGGCAACGGCAGCAAGAGGTGAATACCCACACCCGGTCTGCGATGTTGGGGATTTGTACGCGGCAGTGATGGCCTTGGTCAAGGCTACGAGTTGCGGCAGGTTTTGAAAGTGCGCTTGTGCCGATTTCAACGTGATACCGGATGGTTGATCTGAAGCTGTACAGAGAGTTGTTTTTCTCCTCCATGGCCGTTCCCAGCACCACCACATGTTGATCACAAGGGTGGCAACTGGGCTTGTGATCAGATTACTTCACGTGCTAGCTATCTCGAGGAATCAAAGTGGTTTCGCGCTTTTCTGGTGCCTTCGGCGAAGGCAAACAACACAGCAGCGGCGGCAGCAGCATACAGTAGGCCTCCAGCCTGCGCGATTTCCATCCAAATTCGAGTCTTTTATTCCACGTTCCCGCAGGACAAGGCCGGGGCCACGGAGTTCGATGTCGGGCCATTCGAAGGACGACACAACTTCAGCATCCGCCACCACATCGACAACGGCAGCAGCACTAGTGGAGGGGAAAGACGGGGGGGGGGCGACAGCAGCAGGGTCAGGGGTTTTCATGACATGATTTGCATCGGGTTCGCTGTGTCCTTGATCCTTAATCTTGGCAGTTTCACGGCGCGAAAGGAAGGCTATTTCGCCGCAGAGGTTAAGTGTTTGCCCCAGGGAGCATCGCAGACAGTTCTGGTGAGCACCCCAGTTGGTCGTTCTTGTTTCAGAGAGGCTTCCTGAATTTTCTAATCGTAGCCCTGCCGCTTTTGCGTCTAGGGTGCATGCTGTTCCAGGTAGTCCGTTTCGGGTGGCACACCTAACTAGGCCGTTCCGCTATATGCCGACTGCGGTGCGACGGTTTTCAACGAAACGTTTGCATTTTACTTGATGTCCTTCACCACACCGCAACGGCCACTTTTCGCTCTCGCCGACGTCCGTTTTTACCAGTACAACGGCCCCTGTGCCCCCCACACCGTAGTGAAATTGTTGTTTTCTTTGCTTCTCAGTCCAACCGCGAATTCGCCATCAAAGCGCCAGGGCCTCGGTGCAACAAAGCGCCAGGGCCTCGGTGATGGGTTGCGTTTGCCCATACACTTTTTTTGTGCTAATGAGTGCTAATGAACCGACGGTAACAATACTTGCGGTATGAATCCGCCACCCCCCGAACTCGGTCGAAAACACCCTGCCTACTTGTTCGTTCCTCTTGCAGCCAGACCTCGGGGTATGGGTCGGGTGGAGACAGGCGGTAGCCAACTCAGAAGAGGCGGTCACGTTCAACCTAGAGGTGAGCCACGAGTTTAGAATGCCGACACCGCTGCTATGGTACCTGCAGGGCTTTCTTTGGGCGTGCAGCTCGGTGTTGTATCGCCTGCTCCTTACTCCGCACAGGTAGCGCCTGCCAATCCGCTGGGTCCTGGCGTTGGAGGAAGCCTGTGCTCGCGCTTGCGGGCAATTCGCTCGAGAATACGCCATTGGCTGAATCGGGAGTTTGCCTGGCGAGAGTGTTGTAACGTAACTTGTCTTTGACCCTCCCCACCCACCACGGTGCGTTTGGAGATGGAGATGGAGATAGAGATGGATGATTGGTTTCCTGTGGGCATAGTTATACGGGTTTTCGAGAGTGACGGGAGCGTTCCATGAATGGCGAAGGAGTTCTACCAAGTGGTGGATTTTCGACCGAGAACCTCAAGTAGCCGCATGGTGTGGATGGAGGTGCTACCGACAGCAAACACATGGGCGAAAAAAAGAAGAAAAAAAACATGGGCGACTAAAAGCGCATGATGGGACACGGCGCTCGCTCTATGCCTCGACGTGTGGTTTTTCGGCATGTGTACCCGTTCGCGGCCTGCCCAGGAAATGAGCATGGTGGGGGCCGTGATGGGAATTTTGACGGTGGTGGGGAATGCGACGGACGGCCTGCTCAACGCCGTGGGTCTTGCGGTGCTCCTCTACGGGCGGCGAAAGGTGACTTTGTGTCTATTGAACGCCCATTGAATGGTGTTCAATGTTTACTTTTAAGCGTTAAGGCACACCGCCTTCCTGAGTCGATGTCGGTGTTGGTGCTGTTGTTGGTGTTGATGCTTTCTTGTCCTAGGCCCGTGGGACAACAGGGGGGTTGTTGTAGGATTGCTATCGCTGTTGCTGCTGTTGCTGCTGCTGCTCATGCTGCTGGTAGGCCTAGATGGAAAACCGTCCGGTTCCATCCCACATCCACGTAGCACACTCAGCTTCTCGGTCTTGCAATGGTAACCGGTGTTGGTAGGTTGCCTGAACAAACCGTGCCGAGTCGCAAGCTGTGAACAGCACACACCCGCGTACGTGTCTTGATGTCTTTGTCCATATCTGTCTTGGTGTCGTTTTGTGTGGTTTGTCTCCCTCCGTCTACTACGTGCCTCGCTTGGTGCGAGAGCAGCCCCTGCAGGAAGCCCAGTGTCGCATGGTGAAGCGGTTGTGCCTAGCGTCGCTGGCCATGGCAGGGTGGCTGATGGGCATGACGGTCATCGGCTTCTTGATAGCGGTAAAGGGACCCATCGGAGCTGCGGCCGTAGCCTTCTATTCGGAGGAGTTCGACCTCGACTGCGGGAACTCGGTAAATAACCAATCAAGATTATAAAACATATGTTTCGAAGCAGATGGACACACCCCAAGCTCTTGTCGAGACGCCCCGCCTGAAAACTTAAGCAATCAAGAGCAGTAACAAAGATAGTTCGCAGTGCAACAGATGGACGCACACCAAGCTTTTATTGAGAGAGCCTGAAACTCGGCAAGTACGCAATCAAGATTAAACAGAGGGCCACGCACCAAGTGCCCATGTTTTGAAAGTGTTCAGTACATGCAATCACAGCAAAAAATGCGTGTCGATGTCACATCACAGCAATCATCGAAGGGCATGTGTTCAATTCTGTGCAGCAGTGAGGGAGCGAAAAATCGGCTTCGTTTGTAGAGAGAGCCTGACGCTATCGCTCATTTGAGGAATTGGCTTCGAAATCAGGAGTTTCACCAGGCCGAAGTGAAGCAAGCCATGCTCGCAACCCTTCGAAGTGGGGGTGCCATGTTGATGGGGTTTGTTGCGGGCTTGGCCTGTCTTGCCTGCATCCAGAGTGCACGTCTCATCATCTATATGTAGCGCACTCCATTCCACAAAGAAATGCGGTATTCCTCGCAGTCCCGCTTCTGTGTGCCAGGATGACCCGCCTGTTCCGGATCTACCTCGTGGCGAACCCCCGGTGTTGTGGTTTCAAGTAGTAGAAAAGCGCTGCATGTTTTGCTTGCTTCATCCCCTTTCCGTGTCTTCTATTTTGCACCACTACAGCAGTGGCAAAAGGGCAATAGGACCGGAGACAAGAAACGTCCTTTTCGAGTCGAGGCCCCAATTCTTACACACGTCGTCATTACCGTCGAGTACCCACAGGGTATCATCACATGATCTGTATAGCGTTTAGTGTAGTACCCAAGTCTGAGCTGTGTTTCTATTACCCACATTTATTGTTTTTGTTCGTGAGCATATGAACCTTTTCCCTCGACGGCGTTATTCTTAACTGCCGGGGACCGCGCTGAGTGTAACAGGAATGCATCGCCCTGGTGTGTGTGCGCGCCACGTGTGTTTGCACAGGTGTCGGTTAGCGTCGACTACGCGTATGCGATGGCGACCCTGACGGTCCTGTGCCAGTTCTTCATCGGGATCGTGGCGCTGCCGAAACCGTCTCGCAGCTCCCCCCAAAACCGCCGCCGCCGCCGCTTCTGCTGTCGGTGGAACCCGGCGGGGGTTCTGCTAGCACATCTAGGGCTCGGGGGCTCTTCGGCAGCCTTCGACGAAAACGAACTGCCTTCTTTCGCTGGTGAAGCGGGGCAACCGGCGGCAGCGGAAGGGCCAGTCAAGGCTAAGGGGTCTCGACGAGGGTCTCGGCTGATGGCCGAAGGTATAGTAGAGGGGGGGGTCGGGGTCGGGAGAGAACGGAGTTTCGACCCTGTGTGAATACGATGGGGAGGGNNNNGGGGGGGGGGGGGGGGGGGGGGGGGGGGGGGGGGGGGGGGGGGGGGGGGGGGTAGCGGGAGTGTCGTGTGGTGTTTTGTGCTTCGTCTACGGATGATAGAGAGTGCGTTGTAAGTGCTGTGTGCGTCTCTTTTTTTTTTTCGTTGAAGTGAAGTACAAATCACCCACATTGAGATTTGTACCAGCATAGTTGTAAGGCTTTAGTAATCAATTTCTCTTTTTGTCCATCCCTGCTTGTCCACCTCACCGTGTTTACCGTATGTTCGGGGTCCTTTGGGAGCAAGGGTTATGTTTCTTGCTTTTTCATGTTCCTCGGATGTCTCATGCTCCCTATTCTCCCAGGGATGCACATTTGTCCGCAAAGTGTTGGGAACCCCCAACCGATGTAGTCGATAGTTCTTATCTTACATGGAAAGACGTCGAATGGCCGGTCCCCCACCCTCTAGCCTACCCGCTACGTTGCCCTCGGCAATAATTGAGGCGAAGGTCGATGTGTGTGTGTGAGCGACCCAAGCAAAGTGTGTGCGCCCTTCCTTATTATGTCGACCTGGTGACGTCAAAGTTGTTGTGCGCCTGGTGAAGGTGATATGTTGTTGTCTCTGCGAGGCAGTAGCTTCCGCAGGGTTTTTCGATTTTGTGAACATGTTGGATAAAGCATGCAATCCAAGAAGTTGGGTCTGGGTTAGGGTTAGGGAATAGGGTCTGCGTCCCCCCTTTCCTGTTCTACCTCCTCATTAACTTGTTAGCCTCGCGAAGGCGGCACCCGCGAGTCGGGCGCGATGCTGTTGTCTGGTTTCTTTGGGAGGGTATTTGCATGATGAGGTAGGATTATTTCGTATTTTTGCGATCGGCACGTGTTTCCTTGGAGTGTGGCCTGCAGCATCATCAGAACAGTACGTTTCAATTTTTTGCTGTTTTTGTGCTGTTTTTTCCTTTGTTGCCTCCCTTCGCGTGGACCTGCAGCCTACTGTTCCAACGGCAGTCTACTTTCCGACGGCAATGGTGTTTCCCACATTTCGAAAGGCGGTGTGATAGATCTCGAGCGCCTGCATCTAGTCGGTTGTCCTGCCATGATGATCGTACAGTCGTCCTGCGGCCTGCCAGAGTGTATGAAAGAGAGAGTGCAAGATCATGCGCCGCACCTCGCTAGACTATTATGCTGTCTACTGCCTAAGCCGTCGAATCCCCCCAAACGGGACTCTAGTCTAGGCAGATGAGCCCTGGTGATTGATCTTGTCTTCGTTTTATTGAACAACATCCTGTACAGTATGGTCTACGGTCTCAACCATGTCCGGCGTAACTTGTCAGTCGAGCTCTTCATGACCAGGACTACACAGTTGCGAAAGATATTTGTTTCTGGTCCACCGGTCCGCCGACAGGGGGGGCGCGGAGGAGAGGGGGGACGGGTGGGGGGGGTTTCATGAATGCAAATAAAACAAAATGTGTTGTACACCATACACTTTTTCCAGGATGGAACAACCGAGGGGAATTTGGCCCAAAGGCGTACATTTTCAGTGTGCCGTGCCACAAAAACGAAAAAAAATAAGTGAACACAATCTCCTTCCGGCTGATCCACTATTGCACACACACGCTCGCACCCGGTCGATAACGCAGTAGCGACGCTAACAAGCCGCAACAAACTGAACCGTCTCCCATCAGAACGGCCGTTTGGCTCTGGCTTTCGTTGAGAACCACGTCTGTCTGCATCTTTCTTTCGCATCGATGCCGCCATATACGGGAAACGTGGTGTGGATTGGCTCCGAGAGTACATGGGCCGCAAAACATAAAACACTGGTGACACCGGGCAGCGTTCGACACGGTATGGTTCTGCGGGCGCAGATTAGTGCCGTAGATCTAGGGGAAATGATAAAGGGGTACGGCTGCCCACGGCGGGGGGGGGGGGGTACTCATAGT